TTTCTTTGACGTCGCGTGGAGCTAAGAATTGAAAAGTCATAAACAAAAAACCTCGTCAAGTGGCTTTTAATTTTTTGTCTATGAACATTGTAGCACGTTTAAGATTCAAGCGATATGGTGAAACTCAATTTTTTAATTTTTTTCAAGCTACCTCTCGTACACAAAATTAATGATTTCCGTTACTTAACTTCTTATATCAAACTTTTGTGAGAAAAAGCACTTGTAGCAATTTCTTCTTGGATTTGATCAACCATAGAAGACACAATCGCCGTTGAAAAGTTGAGTTGATTTTAATAAGATTAGAATTGCTAAAATTAAGATGTTTGAAAGTTACTGAACACACTTGGGATGCAAAAAATTACTGAACACACTCGGGATGCAAAAATTACTGAACACACTCGAGATGCGAAAAATATTGAACGCCATTCAGATCACAAGTTTTACTATTAGAAATTCATTTCAAATTCTTGTAAAGACCTCAAACAATCCAGTGGCCCCCTTACCTCAATTCCAACCACAAGCCCCTACAAAATGCCATTCCTTCAGACCACTCCAATCACAAATTCTCATTCTCAATGCTTCAATTACTTGGCAGGTGATTTCAATTGACATTTATTTCTTCTTTTCACTCACTCTCATTTCTGTTGTTGACGTTATCGGGTCAGTTACTGAATATTGAGCGAGCATGTTGCGCAGTGAGAAAAAAAAAAGTTTATTTTTAAAACCAATCTTATTTAATTTTAGCTTCTCTTCGACCGAGAAAAAAAGGAAAAAGTTTTTGTTTATGAAACTGAAAAAATTTCTTTTCATCGCGTTTGAATTTTTCAGTGTAAATGAATGATTATAAATCCATTTCAAGTGGCAATGTTCCCATGAATGAAATGATTTCAATTAATTAAATGCGAAAAACAATGAAATGAGAAAGAAATTGCGTGTCAGAACTTGAAAGGAGGAAAAGAAACACGTTTGAGAATCGATAAAGTAGCAATTTTCTTTATTTGAACCTTGAAAATTTCTTATGGAAATTTAATTTGAACAGGAATGCAATCGTATAGATATTGAATTGACAATTCAACGTGTACATTCAAATACTTACAAGTGTCATAAACAATTAGGAAGCTTGCGTCTGACATCGGCTGATTCGATTGAACATTTGTAATGGAAATGGAAACAGTTTTGTGGTTGCAGTGTGGGATTTGATGAGATATAGCGCAATCCGTTCAATAAATTGAGATTATTTAATTTAATAACGACTTTTAGATATTTAAAATATCAAATAAAAATTTTTTTCAAAGTTTCAAGCCCCTTCTTCACCTCAAAAAGTTTTTCTTGAATTATTCAGTAAATATTAGCTTTTTTGAAGGTCTTAATTGCTTGTTTGCTTCTTTAACATAGCACAATGTGTGCTGTAATATTTTAAACAGACTTAACAGTACAGAACTTTGAAATTCTAACAAATCTGTTCGTCACACAACTATTACCTCAGACAATTTGAAAAAAAAAATATCCATAATATTGCAAATTTGTTCTCAATGTCAATTATGAATTCTCGTATGATTCTTTTGTAAAGATTTATCTTCGCGAATAATAATGTACAAATTTTTTTTATCGTATGATCATTTGATGTATCAATTAAAGCATCATCACTAATTATACGGCTCGAGTGATATATCTAGCAGGTTTTTTGATGTCTTTAATTAACACCTTTTGATTTTATTGTTGTCTGGGGTCTTTGGAATAAGTACCAAAGTCGATGATTTGATAGCAAATGCATCAGTGTATTTATTTTAAAGTACTTAAGGTGAGCGATTTGATAAAATAATAGTAATTGAGGTCAATGATTTGAGAACTTCCAAGGAAATTTTCTTTTATTTATATTGTCACATGACTAATCCAATAAGTACCCTGTCTGAGCTAGGGTGTACAAATAAGTCATGCCTAGGATAACCTTAAGCTTATGTAGCTTCATTGCTAAATTAAATCTTACTAGAATACAATTGAAATTATTAAGCATTAATTAGTTGGACTCTGTGGTTGTTTCATGATCAAATTAGTTACAATACACATGTACTGACCGCAGTGTTTCAACAATAATTCCTTCTTATAACAATGAAAAAATTAAATAATTTTAAAACTCACAAAAACCAGAATGCTTCAGTTTAACCACTTTTTCATTATCTTAGATAAAAATAAGCCTGAAAAATAACAAAATTTATAGCGCAAACCACAACTTGAATGCTAATCTAAAGGTTTACTTTATGTTATCAGCAAAACAAGCTACACATATGAGGGGGGAAAGTGAGGAAGATGGAAATGTAAATATTACAAAATAAACTCACTTTTTTTGTGTGCAAATTGAACTTTCACTATGTCGTGGGCTGGTTTGTTTATTTTAATTTATTTATATATTGAATTATATCTTTTCTCATATTTCATATCTATAATCAGATACATTGTCATCAGTTGAGTACATGTGAATATGAATAAATTAGTATGGGAATAATAAGGTTTAAAAAGATCATAAAAAAATAGCTAACGAGGCTTAAATTGGCAATGTGCTGGGAGTTTGGAGGGTGGTGGCTGATAAGTCGGGCTGGCACGGTTTAGATGTTGTAGTTTGCAAGATTTTGGACACTATTATTTGGATGAATAAAACTACGTTTCTTTTTTAAATTAATTTGACAAGGCAATTCAACTATTTGCCAATAAATCATCATAAGGCACTATGTGTGCTATCAGCGAGCCATCCTACAACCTCCAGCCCACCACACCAAACTTTACCTTTCAAACTCCCACACACAATATTTTATTTTTATTATTTGCAATCACATAAACGTATATGCAAGCTGCTGATATAATTCACGATATATATTTTTATACATATTGAATGTGAGAAACAGTGTCACATGTACCTGTGAAATACACATGCAGCACATTATTGGACACTTAATTGAATTCAACCGGTTAAATAAAAATAAATAATAAATTACTGAACTCATTCTATTTTCTATTATATATGTTTTTGTTTTTATTTTCTATGTTTTCACATAACACAATTGCTTGTTTGTCATTGTAGTTGAGAAATTGGTTACACAGAATGAGAACATAATACAGTCGCGCGTGTTTATATTGGAAAAATGGAATCTGTTACTAGTTGCCAATTGAGAATAATTTACAATAATGTTTATCAGGGCTAAGGTTTCTCTAGCTACACTTCATGACACGAGGAAGTAAAATGTACGATTATAAATCTTAGACATAATTATGACTAAGCAGCATTCAAGATAAGAGTTTGAAGGTCGACAACCTATGCTTAAGACGCTTATTGTTGCTCATGTCTAATAATTCTTAATGAAGGTGAATGAATCTTCAGAATTGAATGTCCTTGATTAAGATTCTTGAATTGTGAGAGGTGTGAATGTATAAAAGGCTAAAGCTTCTCAGTGTGAGATAATTTATTGAAAGTTGCGAATTGTTGTCATACAAAAATACAGGCAGACAGCGACGAGTCTTAAAATCGACTTTGAACTTTGATTGTGGATTATGATGATGATTAAAGATTCTATGAAAATTAAAATGTGAATTTTAAATTATTTTTTGGGGATTTTTTGACTAAAGTTTGACACTCAAGAGCCACTTGGAAGACCCAAACAATATAACACACATTTTAAGCATCTCCAAGTTTTTTATCAATTGTTTTGAAAACTCAATCACGCGATAACCTTATCACAAACTTCAAGTTACTCGAAAATACCCTTTTAAAAAATTTATCATCAATCTCTGACTCGTCACAGCTCAATTTTTTATCTGATCCCCACTAAAACTAAGTCTCACATAGCTATTATCTCATCCACACGTAGTATTTAGTAATTCTTACACATGCCCACATGATGAATAAAGATGATGCGAGGTATATGCGTCATTTATTATCTGACTTAGACAAAATTTACGCTAACATAATAAATAATTGCTTGTTGATAACTGACTATACACTTTTTCTGTAGTATTTGATATCACAAAAAAATTACTACGAAAAATTCATTTTTGTGCCAAAAAGCACGAAACAAGCGTGAAATGAAAAAATCATTTTGTAGTAAATTTTACGATTATCAACAGAAATAGTCGATAGACCGAGAACTACATGGTCATAAAGGGGCTTGAATTAGGCATTCAAGGTTGTTCTGAATTATAAGTTTGTATTGATTTTATGTAGTAGAATTTTTTGTATGACCTTGGAGTTGTCGCGATGTGACTTAATGGAAATATGATCAGGTGATAAGAGGCATTGTTATTGAGGCACACTGCGGAGAACATTTTATTTCATTTTTATGAAAATTTCAAGGGCAGGAAGAAGTGTGAATGATTTTTGAGGGTTTCGGTACAAAATTAGCACGCAATCTTGAAGCTTAACACGATTTTTTGAAGTAACATTCATAAAGCAATTTATTCTTATAAAAAATTTCCCCACAACCCGCGATTTACTACAAATATCTCAGTCCCCATAAAATTCTTATCGAAATCCCATAAACAAAATTTCATTTTAATTAAAAAACCTCATAAACCACTTAATCTGGCGATGAAAACATTTCAAATTTTATATCGTGAAAAATGTATTAGAACGAAATAAATATTTTATTTTTGTATTTTCACGCGTAGTAAATAAAAAACCAGTCAATTGACATGAGATGAGCGAGTAAAATCTTAATCGACGTCATGTGACGTCATGGAGGCACGGCTTTTTAAATAAAAATAATATTTTTCTTTGAGAGTAGCAAAAACAGAAGCACATGTGACATTAAAAATGACATCAAACTTGTGATGTTCGACAGAAACACAATATTTAATCTCAATGCTTGTTGTCTATATGAGGAACTAAATTACAAAACATTTTTTTTTGCCATGATAATATTTTTCTGATAATTCTTATCAATACTGTCCTGATTATTTTACATTGTCTTGCTTATTATTCATGATTTCCTTATGTCTATTTCTCTTTCTAGATGAGGCAAACAAAAGAAATGACGATTACGTACCGAAGGATAATAAATCATCAACAGCAAAAAAGTTATCAGAAACGACAAATATCAACAATAAGACAAACATCAACAAGAACTCAAAACGCTCAAATTTGAAGAAGCGAACGGATAAGACAAATTATTCTCACAATTGGCTCTTGACCACATTGAAGGGACATACAGGCTCCGTTATGGACATGAGTTTCTCAGCAAACGGAAAATATCTTGCGACATGTGCTGATGGTGAGTTTCATTGAATATATTTATTTTACTTCCTTCCTTCTTTTTCATATACACTAACATGGTCTGACTAATGTGACTAGTTTTGATTTATACTTTAATTGAGGTGTTTCTACATATTATCGGAGCGGAATGTGGTTCGATTTCACATTCACTTTTGGTGGCTGGTTATATGGGAAAATAAAGTGTGTGGGTTGATGATTGTCTGGGAAGTTTAATGACTTGTTACATTTTAATATGGAAAAGGAGGCAAATCAAGTGAGAGTTTTATGAAGTTGGATATTATTTTTGAAAGTTAATTATTGAATAATCTGAGGATTAATGTCATTAGTGAAATGTACGTACGAGTTTGATTCCAACACTTTACATAATGATCTAGTGACAGGTCTCTGGGAGGATTCAAACACACGTCCTTATAAAATTGTTAAAAATTGACAGTTTCTAGCTCAACCATTTGATCATATAGACATAATTCTTGCATTGGCAATTTGAGTACATGTTCCTAAATGTGATAAGGTTTGTATTCAATCTATTCAAAGATCTCAAATATGTCGGCATCAAAAAAAATTCAAAAACATGCAACATACTCAAAATGCGCTTTATACATTACTCGTTTCTCTTACTTTACAAGACACTCAATAGCTTGATTGTCGTTTTTACAATTACACTACGTCTTTTCCTACTTTTATCACATTCACTTCGTCTATGTCTATCTATGGTAAAGTCATGTCATATGAATATTTTTAACGATCAATCGACATCGACTGTCAGACATGTTTAACTCCCTTATCATAGCGCGCAAAAAAAAGAAAACAATTATTATTTTTTTGCATGCATCGTCGAGTACTTGTTGCGCCTTTTTCATATAATTGTCTATTTTTACTGCCGCGATGCAATTTGCAATAAATAATAATTGCAGTATTTTTTTTTCCTGAACACATAAAACCTCACCGTCAAGTTCAATGTATTGTTGAATAGATTCAATTAAGTCTGATAATTTTTTTTGATAGTAAATTCATTCAACCTTAAGACTTTTCATGTCATCAATCACGTGCTGCTTCTTCTTCTCCCTCCTTTTTTTGTTAAGCGCGAAAATTATTGATTTCTGACGTGAAACAGTCAAAAAAGCGAGGTAAAGTGTTAATGCACTTTCTTATCGATTAATTTTTTTCGAAAATAACAACAAAACTGTTGAACCTCCTTGTTTTGAAAACAAACAAACAAGATATCAATCAAAATTTTAAGCAAAAAAGCTGACTGTGAATGAACGGTTCAATTAGATGAGACATGTGGTTGATGGCTCATGCTTTTCTATTGAAATTTCACGTGTTTTGTCTGCTTCTTAGTTGCAATGGTAGTTCGGAAGGTTTTGCATTTTTAGACGTGGTATTTAAATGCTTAATAGCTTTAATGCTAGGCTACGCTTGCTTCAAGTGGGCTGAAACTTTTTATGCTGAATTTTAATAGATTTTCTAGTGTAGCAGTGTTTTGCAGTCAAGTAATTGCTTCATTTTGCATTGAATTTGACAAAACTTTGGATTTCTTACTATGGGATTTTTAGTCTTTCGTTGTGTTCAGTCTTCTATCCTGCAATTTAGAACTTGTCCAAGGCAGGGATTAACCGAGTTTGAACACTAAAATACAATCAAAGATTCTTGAAGCTATTGGCCATTAATAATTGAATAGAAAGTTAATCTCAGCACATAAAGTTTTAGTTGCTAGGATAGTGATTTGCTAGAAAAATTGAGGCTATGCTAGTTCAAAGTTCAAACAAAATGAAATTTAATGAAGAAGTTCTTCTTAGTTTTGACCTAAAAATGATATTAAGGTTAGACTTTAGTGATTATTAAATGAAATTTGTGAAACTTGTAAGATTTCTACCAGACATTGAACAACTGCTCAATCCACAACAATCTAATCAACCTGCAAGAGCATCAAAGTAACAATTAATCTTAATTGCATGACACTAATCTCAAGAGATAAGCTATCAATATAACCAAAACAAAACCTCATTACTTTCTACGAAAGCAAAAGTATTAATCGTATGGTGAAATTAGAGACAAAGTAAAGATATATTCTAGTTCCTCTAATTCTCTCTTTCTATTTCATATGGGTAAATGGCACTTGAATATGGTGATGATGTACTTGGCACGTGTTTGCTTATTTAATTAATCTTGATCCTTTTTTTTACAATGTAAATATCATTTTCATCTTTCTAATTAAGTTATTTTCTGCTTTATGTGATCTTCTTCGTTTTTTTGTTAAGTAGTTTAGAAAGACACTGGTTAGGAAATTTGTGAAAATAATATTAATGGGTGTATATTTGATTTTGATGGTGTGATGCGATGGTTTTATTTTGATGAATTTTAATTTTTTTTTAAAAAAAGGAATTCAAAATTTCAAAATCAATTTAATTTTTTTAAAAAATAGTCAATTTTAAGAAGGTTTAAAAATCAAATCTAAGAAAATTAGAAATTTCAAATTTTTTTTTAAAAAAAGGAATTCAAAATTTAAAAGTCAATTTAATTTTTTAAAAATAGTCAATTTTAAGAAGGTTTAAAAATCAAATCTAAGAAAATTAGAAATTTCAATTTTAAAGAAAATTTGGAAAACTCAATTTTAAAAAATTTAAAATTTTATTTTAAGAAACATTTAAAAAATTTATTAAATCGCAGGTAAACAATTTGATAAATTTATTTTAAAAAATTAAATTACAATTAAATCTTAAAAAATTAAAATAATTCATCTAAAGATCATCACAGAACAAAAATCCACAGATCACTTAACAATCTTAACAACGGTTACAAAATAACACCAATAATATTAATAAAAGGGTTAAGGCGATAAAAAAAGTTGCTGATGAAGCTTTATAAGTTTTTGCAAATAATTAAATAAATAGTATAGGCTCTTATGTTAATTACACTTTTTATTGCTTCATCAATGCCATGAAGTAGACGCAATTACTAATGGAAAAAAACAGTTACATTACCTTCAAACACACACACACACACACACTCAAAATTTACTTACACACACTCAAAAAATTAATAATTTAAAAGATTCACATAAAAAAAGCATTTTTTTAAAAAGAAAAACTCAAATTTAGTTTATTTTTTGTGTTATTTTCTTTAAAGATCCATCATCAATGGTTCAATCGATTGATGGCGAATCAGATGTGACAAATGAAACATCAACAAGTAGTGAAGACTCACCAAAGCAAAAGCGTACCCAAAATAAGCGTAAGGTGAATCATAATTACGTAAAACAGCGTACAACACGCAATCAAAATGGCAAGTCATCTCCAACTACATCATCATCATCTTCTAATGCCCATAATAATCATAATCAAATATTGAAAAGTTATGAGAGATGTGAGGAACAGAGATATCGTGCACTCGAGCCACCATTACGACAACATACGAAATTAAATTTAACGGAAGCACAATTGGTTCATTATTTACGTAACTATCTCTTGGATGAAATGTTAATGCGCCTTCTCGGCTTTCCAATCGAGTATGATGTTGCACCGAGTATGGCAATAATCTACAAATATCCACCATACGAGTTTATTTCACAACGTAAACAGGCTATGGCATCGACAACTGCCTATTATAGTGGCAGTCCAATTATCGTTAATCAAAATGATGGCTTGGTTCCAACAAAGGAGAATTTCGGATGTGAAATTAATGATAGTGATAGTGGTCAAGGATCGGGATCATCATCACCATCTGATGATTATGAATTGAGACAATCACCAGCTATTAAGCCACTGCCAAGACAGTACACATCAATGGTGAGCTCACAAAAGGAATGCTCGCGATGCGGCAAAGGATTTTTCGTTACTAACGACGGTGACTATGTCACAACAGAACCATGCCTTTATCATTGGGGTAAACTAAATCAATTTTATGATGGACATCAAATGCGTCGTGTTCATTCATGTTGTGGTCGAGATTATGATGCAAATTACATTAATGGATGTACAGCAAATAGAGTCCACGTATGGACAGGTGTATCAGCTGGTCTGAATGGTCCATATGAAGGCTTTGTTCGCACAAAACGTCGTCCAGGTCCAATGCCAGAAGATGGAAACACAGGAGTTTTTGCAGTTGACTGTGAAATGTGTTTTACTGGATGTGGCTTGGAACTAACAAAGGTTACATTTGTTAGATCTGACGGAAATATGTTTTATGAAAGTTTTGTGCGTCCTGAACGAGACATTGTTGATTATAATACACGATTCTCGGGTATAACAGAAAAAGATCTGAATCTTGGCACAAATAATGGAATGCGTCGTGCCTCAACAGCATCAAATTCAAGTTCGAGTTCGACAAGCTCCAACGGTTATTACAGAACCGTAAAAACATTACAAGAAGTACAAAAAGATCTTCTCAAGTTTATATTTGAAGATACAGTTCTGATCGGACACTCGATCGAAAATGATCTCAAAGCCTTAAAGCTGATACACAAGTCAATTATAGATACGGCGATTATTTTCCCCCATTATTATGGACTACCATATCGACGCTCATTAAAATCACTTACAAATTGCATCCTCAAGCGTGATATACAGACAGCCGAGAATGGCCATTGTAGTTTTGAAGATTCACGTGCATGTTTAGAGCTGATATTGTGGAAGGTACGAAAAGATTTTCGTGAAGTGCTGGAGCAACACTAGATGATGATGCAGACAGAAGTGATTTATACATAATATTAATTTTTTAATGGATAATTAGATAGGATGATAAAAATTTTTTAATGTGATGTTCATAAACAAAATTTTATACACAATTATTTTGGCGGTGTACGATTGATGAGGATTATGGGTTTTTGCTGGATTACATACTAAGATATTGTGTGACGATAAACATCAGGAAATTCCCAATAAAACCCACAATCATCGTCAATTCCCATCCCCAGAACAACAACAAAAAAAAAGTTATGCAAAATTTATTTTTGGAATCAACAATTTTGAGTGAATTTTTCTCACAAGTACAAAAAAAAAATTAAAGAAGAAAAAAAAAGTTTGTATGCGGAATCAATTTTACACAAAAGAAGAAAAAAAAAATAAACACACATTTAAAGCGAGAAAAATGAATTTGCATAATCTTATGACATCAGCAGAACGAATGTCACCTCGTGAGATCGTGATGATGTCTCGGTATATTGCCCCTTAAATGTGTACACAAAAATAAACTCATTATTATGGAGATTGCTGAAACGACGTGCAAATTTGTGTGATGAAAGTTGGGAGAATTTTGTTATTATTTTTTTGGGGGAGTTTGGACTTAAGGATGCTTGGTGTTGGTATCTAAAATAAGCTTTACTTTTGGTACCGATATTTCAAATATCCTTATTGCAATCTTTATAAAAGGGGTAATAAGCTCATATCCTCCCAAAAAATATTCTGACAAAATCCAGCCCAAGGGATCCCATTTAATCTGCTGTCATGTCATAAGCCAAAAAACAAATCTAAGAGAAAATAAGTCGCAAAGTATTTTTTTATTTTTATTTTAATTACTTAAGAAATTTTTCTGTAGATTTTAAGGAATATATTTTTTTTAAGTGTACGCTAAGATTTTTCCTTAGCGTGATTCGATTAAAAAAAGCTGAATTTAGTTCTACTAAAATGTATTGTTTCAGCACAACTAAATTCAGTCATTTGCTAGTGATAATGTATTAAGAAACTTTTTAATTATAAATAAATGTGATTTTTGTGACACGAATGTGAAATGAAATGTAAAGTTGTAGAAGTTTTTGCCTTTCAGAATCAGATCAAATTTTATGTCTAGAAATTTATCAACTTCTACATCCCATTTGAAGATTTCTTTGTAAATGTGCTTCAATTAGTAATCAAAAGTCAATTTGTATAGTCAAATTAGTACTCGAATTATATCATCAGAAACATAAGCAAATTAAACAAATTTTACATAGGTAAATAAGTAGGAAAAAAAAAGATTTAAAGTGCCTGTAATTAAGGATGGGGAGGCTGAGAAAAAAAAATATATATCATTTAGTGTATATTTAATGTGTAGATAAAGAACACACAAAATAATAATTGCTCTCGAAAAGAAATTTTTAACGAGTTATTTCGTTAAAAAACTAATGCAAAGCTCTAATGATGCTAATTAAATGTGCTTCGAATGATAATTATTCATATATAGTAGAGATGGAAAAAAATAAAATTAAATTTATCACATTAGTTTCCCAATAACTTATGTGGTAGATGTCGTGTTTTACATGAAAAATCATTATTTTTTATTTTCATTCTCTTTAAAAGTAAAACTATAGATCACTGTAAATATGCAAAATTAAGGCAGAGTTGGGAGGGAGATTTTTGAATTTAGGAGAAGTGACTATGGAGACTTAGATTTTTTAAATACTGACATTGAAGATTGATTTTGAACTAAGCTTGAATTTAAATAATTTTCAGCAATTTTGAGGATAAAACTTTAAAAGTATTTGCAATTTAGTTTCGACTTGATTCCTATTTTTCGTACAATTTCAGTTTTGTTTCAGATTCATCAATAATTTCAGAATTAGTTTATCCTAGTTTACAATCTAGTTCCAACCTCGTTTCAACCTAGTTCTAACCTAAGTTCAATCTAGTTCCATTCTAGTTACAACCTAGTTCCAACCTAGTTCTAATCTTGTGGTAATATTGTTCAAACCTAGTTTCAACCTAATTCTAACCTAGTTCTAATCTTAGTCAAACGTTGTTCCAACCAAAGTTCAACTTTGTTCCAACCAAAGTTCAACTTAGTTCCAACCTAAGTCCAACTTAGTTTAAACCTTAGTCCAACTTAGTTTAAACCTTAGTCCAACCTAGTTCTAAGCTAAGTCTAAAATCTAATTCCAACCCAAATGCTAACCTATTGTAGATGTTTTCAAAATCATAATTTTAGGAACAATTCAAAATTTTCATCAATTCGATCCTCGCAACTCTGCCTGTTAAAAACAATATATATTTTTTATATTGTGGATAAAGACTGTAAATAATTATATTTTTTTTAGAAAAAAGTCAGTTGTATAAAATAAAAATCTGTGCTAAATTTGAAGTCAATGTGAATAACAGAAAAAATACTTAAATGATAGTTAGAACATGAGAGCAATTTCATTTGTCTATTCAATTCAACTAAGTCACCCCGGCCAAGGGCAAGAAATTACTGTTGCAAAATTTAATACAAATGTATTTTGTGTTTTGTGGGAAAAAAAAGTAAAAAGAAGTCATTTTGAGATGGAATTGAGTTATGAAATGGTTGTTGGTATGGTTGAAGAGGATGATGAAGATATTAAGCTTGTGTGTCATGAATTGAGAGTTTTTGGATAAAATTGTCTGAATTTTCCAACATCAAGGTTTAATTTTTTTAAAAATTCAAAAAATTTTCAAATATTTTTCCAAGTTTTCTGACAAAAATACGAACTAGAATTGAAAATTTCGAACCTCAGTTTGACAATTTTAATAAGATTTTCAATTTAAAAAAAAATAAAATTAAAAAACCACTATTTGGTGGCACTTGTTTGAAGACAAAAAAAATCATTTAAACAGTTTTTAACATTTTCAACTGTGATTTACTTCTATGATAAATTCAGGCACAGATAAATATGATTTTATATGAATAAAACTAGAACAGAAATTAAAAAGTAATTCTCGTCAATTTTAAAATTGTAAGTTAGGAGAAATTATCAAATTTTATAGATAGGAGAATATGAAATTAGCATGTAAAGGAGCAACAAGCTTATGTAATCAAAAATGATGTCGTTGTCACAAAATTCACCCGAAATTAAGTGTTTTATTGTTGTGCATACAATTTTTTTTTATTATTTCGAACAAGTACAGCAGAAAATTATTTGCAATTAACTCAAGTTGGCAAGTCAATTGTCGATTGTAGCTCTATCATAAATTTAAGCTATATTTTTTTTTTGTTCTCAAATAGAGCAGAGCTCATAAAAATGAAATAAATAAGCGAAAAATTCACGAGAGCACAAAACTTATTGACATTCGACATAAATTAGTCGTAAATTTACTGCCAACATTGAATAATAAGAAACAAAACAAAAAATCTTGTCGAGAGAATAATGTGAGGGAAAGGGAGAGGTATCTATAATTGTCTACACTCTGTCTTACTTCACATCATCATCATCGTTAAAAAATATTATTGCAACCGACTTGAAACTGTGCAAGATGAAATTTATGTACACAACGAGATAATTTGTATTGATGTATGAAGAAAAAAAAAGAATCATGTCAAACGAATTTGTTATTTTATGGATTTTATGAAAAAAAAAATTCAAGAATCAAAAAATTTCAGCATTAAAAATGCTAGAAAAAAATAATAAAACACAAAATTCTATTTAAATTTATAAAAAATTTAAAAAAAAGCTTTTATTTTCGCATGAAAATTCTCAATTTTAGAATAATTGAATCAATTACTTTCAGATAATTTAATTGCCATAGCTACGATGTCCATGGAATAGACAATTTAATTTAATTGTACAAACCATGAAATTTTGTAAAGGGGTCGCTTACTAATGATGTCAATCAAAAAATTGGGCTTTAAGCTAGCGAAGATTCGCAAAGTCTTCTTCAACAAGGGCTGAAGCACGAAATTTCCTGGGGTGGGTTTAATATATTCCAGAGGGCGAAGTCGACTCGAAATTTGTATGAAGTCGAGTGAACTCAAGTCGACTTTTCCATACAAAATTCGAGTCGACTTCGCCCTCTGATATATTCAAAGCAGTGTTTCTCAAACTTTTTTGGTCCACGGAACACCTTTTTGAATTCCCAAAACATGTTCATTTTAGCATTCTATTTTTTTGTGGCCCAGGTGTGTCTTCACGGCACACGGCTTTAGAACCACTGAACCACTGATATAATCTAAAACTTTTCGGAGATGGAGAGGAGAGGGAAGTTGGAATATTTTGTCAAAATTCTATAGTATAACGAGTATAACAGAGATTGATCCCGAATCCAATCCATTCTAAGCCTCAACACTCTCCCCACTATAATCCTTGACGTCATTATCAATCAACCTTAAAGTGATCTTCTTGGTTTGTTAAGTAGTTGTGGGTGAATTAGTCACTGCAAAATGCATGAGGCTTAGCTGGCTATATTGAGAATATTTAATGGTTTTGAATAGAATCTTGAGAATTTATTTATGCATGACTTCCATTGCTATTGAATACGCTATAGAATACGGACAATTTGGGGGCATTTAAAAACCTTCACACACTCATAAATGTTGAATGACATTTTCAATACACTTGGTTAGGCGCCGCAATAAAAATGCCGGTTTTTTAAAGTTCAACTGTAATCTGACTTATCTAAATGTTAATCGGTCATACTTTCTATTTGTAAACTGAGAAATGTTTTGTTTTACAGCACATGACATTTGCTTGATCAAATAGAAATTTCGGAAATTTCTAATAGAATGAATTTAAAAGCATTTCCATTCACAAAAGTTTAAAGCTCCTTGCATGGGCAGATGAATCACACGAGCAATTATAAAGGTGAGCAAACTTTAGTCATATGTAGGATGACTAGCCCGCCCAACATCTTTCTGAAACAATAAAATTTTTAAGCCAGTGGCGAAAACTTCTAAAGGTTAGCAATCGCATTTCTTCTTCGTTTTATGTTTTTAATTGTTAAGAATGTTGAGCTTTTTATAGATTCTGTGGTTTTAAAGTGAACATAAAGTGAATATAATTGGGCACGTTTAGATGCTGAAGATTCGAGAATAACATGAATGGAATGAATTATTTGGAGATTTTCGTATTTTTTGGAATTCCCATTCTTAATAAAATTTAATAGAGGACAATGAGCAGAGGTCATTATCATGTACATATGTACATTGTATTAGGAAGCTGTTTTTAAATTTGACATTAAATATCTGAAAAGGGAACTAGATTCAATCCTTTGTTATAGCATTATCTAATTCCAACAAACTAGCGCACACAACTCATGCTAGCTTCCTTATTTTTCCAATAAATAATTTATCCTTTATTCCAGTGATGTCCAACCCATGTGCCGCGATACACACAAAAATTCAGAAAATTACACGAACCGTGTGTCATGTGCAGTTCAATTCATAGCTTTCACCACTTTGCGCTGTGGTTTAAAAAAGGTTGGACACCACTGCTTCATTTCAATAAGCTAGTTCAAAGGAATTTAAGCTCAATTTCCTCATCAATTTATCCGATTAACTGTAAATTCAAATTACTTCTAGACGATAGCCAATAAAAGTAATCATGAAAATAACTTTGGCATGAGATTACAGCCAAGAAGAATATTAAATCAAAATTATTCGCTTCAATAATCATCCATTAGATCCCCATATTATATGTGAATATAGAAAACGAGAGGAATGAACAAAAAATAATAAAAATTGAGATCAACTGCGAGTTAACAAGTTTCTATCAATTTCCATTTCTGTGATGTCGAGTCTGTATGCAATAACTTTTTATTTCTCTTTACATATAGTCACAGGCGATTCTCACCTTTACCAATAAACGTTTAACTTGTTGCTTGCCTGTAATACTGCTCATTTAAGACGATTCATGGCTCGAATGGTCGGTAATAATTCTTCATTGTGCAAATTTCAATTCGTATGTATGCTTTTGGGTTTCGACTCAGTCAGTCCAAAGCACATATAGCGACTTTCTACTTTCACTTTGCTAAGCAAATGCTTCGCTTTTTTGCGCTGCTACTTGACTGGAATCGAGTGGGTATATGCAAAAAAAAGAGTTTATATTTATAAAATGAAAATATGATCTCGACCGCTGTTTTACTCAAAATGTGCATAAAATAAATTTGCCTTTTACTTTTTTATATAAACTTTTTTATTTGCTTTCATCGGTTTATAAACTTGAGAGTTGAAAAATTATTGAATTTAAATGGTAAGAGCGCATATGGTAATGATGTGTGATCGAGTAATGTTTGGTGATCTGAGTGGAGAAAGCAGAGCCTGATTTTGAGAGATACTCTGAGGAACCTACCCCTAGAAATGAAAATCATTGTCTGTTTGGCTGTGTGTCTAGCAAAGGATACCTTAGGCAGACCTAGAAGCAAGTCTTACATTGAAAAATTAATCTTGAGAGTTAAAACTTTAGTTTAAATCCAAAGCTCAGTAATATGTTGGATTCAGAGCTCCCCATTTCCATTTTAAAATCTCCTCAACTCCGTAGTCCTGCATAGAGTCGCAGACGGAACAGAATAAAAATAGATAAGCTCATCAAATAATAAACTCCTGACTTCACACGCACCTAAATATATAATCAGCAAATAAAGTAAATATTTAGCATATTTAAGTTACCATAGGTCAGTTCCTGTCAATCAGCCAACAGTAATAAAAACAAAAAAAAATTCATTAAATTCAGCTAAAACACGCATTGAAAATGTAGCAATCGGACGACTTTTTTTTTTCCTTTTCACCCAAGAAGCATATCAGTAGGTGTGTTCAAAAACCGATTATAATTTTATTTAATATATTCTGTCCGACCGACGATTATGGAATCATCGATAACGAGAAATTCACTTTAATTGATTCAATAAATAATAAAATTAAATTACCTGTAGCAACTAAGATGTTCAGTTAAAACAACTTGAATGTGTGTATGTCGATTTCAAAGTATTACAAGAGAGTCGTGCAGCTCATAAGCTTACATTAATTCTATTGATTGTGTCACATGCAGCCACAGCCTTATTATATAATTCATCGCTTACACATTGTCTGTAACTTTTATTACACTGCCATTTTTTTTTTGTACGAAAGGCCAGTTAATGAGCAATTTTAAATCTACAAAGATCTCATCAGCATATGAAGTGGATTGCAATGTACATTATGGATGAAGCTATTATTGGATGAGCTATCGTTTAAGGTGATTTTTTGTCATGATATTCTGTTTTATGACTATTTTGAATGCCAATATAGGGACAATGAATTTGTGTCATGAGTAAAAAAATATATTAATTTTGCTTTGGAACTTCGGTGCTATGGATAATAAATTGAATGTTTATGACAGCCTCAACAATGGTTGTATTACGTGGTTTTTTTTCTATCATCGTTCCTAATTTCAATCCCATTAATCGATCCATAAAAAATACAACTTCAATTAAATTATTCAAAATTACATCCATTTTCGATAGCAAATGGAGTTCCCATAATTAAACATTTACTTAAAGTTATTAACAGAATATCCAATATTATAGAAGAATAAACTTAAAAAATGAGTTGAATTATTCAACAAGCCATATGACAATTTTCATTCCATTTTCAATTTTGAATTAATTTTTAATGAACATTTTCCATCGATTTTCATCGGAAAATTTAAGGTTGTAAAAATATAAATTTTCTGACGTGGCTTTCCTGTCTCTTAGTGATAATTTACATGCTAATTTTCTAATTATTAAAGCTGCAGTTTTGGTTGATTAGCAAAATTTTTGTTGACTTATGCACATGCTGTCAAGCAACTTAACACAATACTTGAAGGTTATTTACCTTTGTAATTATCGAAGAAATGACATCAGTGGTCAAAGTGGTACGGCATTAAATTTCGGAGGAATTCAATTTTCATTTCTCTAGTTAAGTATAATGATGTGGTGTCAGAGCTGCCTGGAATCTGGGGTATCGAACAATATGTAGGCGAATCTGCCAGTGCGAGAGTAGATTCTGTTCAGTAGATATGTATTCTCTACAAGAAACATTTTTTGTTGAGAGTTTGTATCCACAAAGCTATGACAATTAGAATTTATTAAGAGAAGTACGAAAAATAAAAGATTTAAATAAGTACAAAGTTCTTAACCTTTTCAAGCTCCAACTTTGAAGGAAAAATTTGTTAATATAAAATTCATTTTTAAAAATTTCTCGTTAAATGCCTCAATTTTTAAAATCTCAAGAAAAATGCATCCCTTAAAAATATTAAAATGTGAGAGTATGAGTGAGATGCTAGTAGGGAGTTACTCTACAGGTACTATAATGTTCTAAAATGTTCTAAAATATTTTTGAGAAAACATAAACAATCAGTCATAGTTTCTAATTTAGAAAAAAATGTTTTTAATAGTTTATCGTTATTACCTGCTGAAAAGGATCGAAAAATAAGGTTTATTTAGCTCAGTTATAACTTTAAACACTCAGGGATAGTATTAATAATTGCTAGTTTTAAATAAATTCACAAAATTACAAAAAACTTACATCAAAAACAAAACATTGGACTTTGTTCGTAAACAAAATGAATCTTGTTATAACATTTTTCGTCATTTTCAACATTTTGCTTGCTAATGGCCTTGAATATCAACATATTCAACCAGGAGTGGTGGTGGAAGATTATGGAAAAGTTGGAATGATTGACGATTATTTTCATGTTGCATTTAGAGTGAATTTTACTGCATTTTATCTAAATGAGTTTTCTGATCTCAAAACATCAGTGACAAAACTATGTTCAGAAATAAAATGGAAGTTAAAGGAGGAACATCAAGTTTGCAAGGATCAACTCGTTGATTTCCATCAAAATTTCAAAGACAAATCTGAAGAATTATTGAAATCTTTAGACACAAAAGATCAGTTAAACAGCAATTCATACAAACTTTCGGATCTAAACAAAATAAAGCACGGAGAGCAGGACCATGAGCTCGACAAGATGAAAAACTTAGTCGTTTTGGATTTCACTAATGACATATTCCCAAATATTATTGAGGATGCTACAAGTTTAATCAAATCATTAGATACATTGAGAGAAGTTGCAACATCAATGGAAAATGACATTGAGCCTGTCGATGAAAAGATTAATCAGCATTTTGATATTTTAGAAAAATTTATGGAATCTTGCAATGAATATTTGTTGGAACTAGAAACGATAATAAGTCAAGCACAAAATCATAAAGTCAATTACAGACTTTTGAAAAATATATTGTTAAAGGATGTCCTGGAAGGAAAACTGATCACAAATAATGTCTATCATATTATTGATTTAAATTCCATTACTGCAAATAATGTCGCGGATATTGGACCGAGCATTGGATCAACTACAATTCAATCAATGATCAAAACAGCTGTTTATAAGGAAAATAACATCCCATACATAATAATGTCCTTACCATTGAGTAGAGTACAAAATGTTGAAAGTTTAAAATTAGTGAAGCTCAAACCGATACCAAAATTAGAAAAAAATATTTTAACATTTATAAAAGCAAATCCTAACTTTTTTATCCACAACATAGACTATGAAAGACCACATTTCTTCGTAGAAGATCTTAATTGCTGTTATAGATATAATGGGAATTTTTATTGTGATTATTTTAATAAGACTGAAGAATCCTCAACTGCTTGTGTCTCAAACGTTTTTGAAATTAGAACTAAAGACTTTTGTAAATACTATGGATGCAAAATGGTTTATTTAGAGAACTTTGGTTCCAATATCATTGAATTGCAAAAGAAATATTCATACATTGTCGTAACACAGACACAAATTGATGCTGAATATACAGGAGGATCATTTAAAAACATGAAATTAGAAATTCCAACGGGTTCTTCGCTAATTCACAGTAAAATTCCAATAACATTAAAACTTAATAATATTGAGTTGAAGTTTGAAAAGGATATTAGTGGAAAAGTGCTGTATCCACGTGACTTTGATTTTTATTTTTATGACGTTTCAACTGCGAAAGTTGACCAGAAACCTGACTCTGAATTAGACTTAGGTCGAAGCTTTTCAACGATGGATGTAGTAACAGTTGACACAATTTATAAACTTTCGACAAAAGTTCCGAGTCGTAAAAAAGAGTTGAAAAAGGAAAATGATGAAACATCTACTTCAGCACCTAAAGTGATCAAAATAATTCGTTATCAAGAGCCACTTTACATTGTTTTGACTAAAATTTTATTGACTGCTGTATGTCTTACTGTTTTACTTCTGATTTTCTTTAAATATGTATTAAAGTATAAGTTTGTAGTTAATTTGAGAGCAAAGGAAGAAAAAGAACCATTGAAGGAAAAGAATGAAAAATAATGCAATTTAAAATGAAAATGATTTAAAGCAATGGAATTAATATTCAATATTTCAAGTAATGGTTGTAAGAAAATTTAAAAATGATTAATAACAAAATAAAACAAGAATTGCGAATTTCATTTATGAATTATTTTTTATTGTTTTGATTTTGCAGCTTTAATATTCAAATTAAATAAAGTTTAGCTGGAGTTATAGAAGTCTAGAATTACAGAATTATTTGAGCTTTCATTTCCCCAACTTATTCTAATTAACTTAAAGCATTGACATTTATATTCATCAAAAATAAAATGATCTAAGTGATTTTCTCGAACAAAAATTCTTGGCACTAGCTTTTCTTTTGCCAGCTTTATTTAATAAATCGGATCTTTTCTACCATAGAATTCAAATAAGATCATTAAGCTTGGTGATAAATTTTATTTGGTAAATCTATCTCATTTTTGTGATGATTCGTTTAAAATGTATAACAATGAGATCAAGAAAAAGGTTTACGTAATGTAATAAGTTGATCACTCGATGAGAGAAAATGATGAAAAATTACATATCAAGCTATTTATTAAAAAAAAAATATTGCTGTACTTATTTGCATCAAGTCTCGAAAACTATCCCAAAAATATTCAAAATAGTCTTTCACTAGTCTGAACATCTGCATGGTTTTTCAGAGTACAGTTCTTTATTTTTTTCATTTTTCAAAAATAAAATAGTTTTGTTCTGTTCTAATTCCAGAAAAAGAATAAAATTAATAGACACGTAGGATGTCATCTATTTTACTTGGGTGTCGTTCAATTATGACGTTCGAAATTAACGATAATTTTTCAAAAAAGAACAATTTTTCCAGGAATTTCTATTGTTCTTTTCTTGCGGACCCCCTCCTTCTGGACGTCATAAGTAAACGGGCCTTTTCAGGTTCAATTTTTTTAAAAAAAGATCTGGTAATCCTATGCTTTAATCCTATCCATTAAAATTGGTATATCTCATCGAATCTTTAAATAATATGTCCAATACGCAAAGGATTTGTTGGGATATCTTTATTATCGTGCATACAGACTCAGAGAATATTTGGAATATTTGAGATAGTTTCCACCCCTTGGATTCGTATGTAATTTTATTTTCATCAGAAAGTTTGAGCACAAGAAACTTCAGAGTTAATTTATAAATATTTTAAAGTTTCTACATGTTTGAAAACAACTATTAGATGTACCTAAAGATTCTGTATAAAATATCTTGATTCTAAAATATTTTATTCAGTTACTCTACTTGAGATTTTCAATCCGCATCGATCCAGAATATATTTCAACCAGTGCAAAACTCGTCAATTGTTCAAAAAGTTTAAGCTTTTAAAAATATTTCAAATGAATTTAAAATCAATCATTTTCATTATCATTAATATCTTGTTTGTTCACGGACTTGATATCAATCCATTAGAACCTGGAATTTTAATGGAAAAATATGGAGAAACAGTTTCAGTTGAAAAGTATCTTAATGTAGCAGTAAAGTTTAAATTTTCTGCATTTAACATTGAGGAACTTACTAAGACAATGTCAATAATGGAGAAACTTTGCAAGATGATAGAAGTGAAATTTGAGGACGAACATCCTCTTTGTCAAGATCAAGTTCAACACAACAAAGCATTTATAAACGAAATCAACGAGAAGTTTGGATATCTACAGAAATTCGGTGACATTAATTCAGGCGGAACTGCCGAGAACTTAGAAGTTAAAGATTTGAAGACTTTTGAATTTACTGAAGAAATTTCTAACAATTTAGCTACGAAAATCGATCAAATTTCAACATATATAAACTCAACATTAGACAAAGTTTCCAAAATCTCTGGAAGTCTTACAGTCAAGGCAGGAGAATGCACAGAAAGGATTGTCTCCATTTCATTTAAGTTTGAGGATTTAAGAAGCTACTTCAAGAACAAGCTTAGTGAAATTGAAAGAATCATCGATAGTGCAGCAAAGTTGGAAGTCAGCCCATTGCTGTTGAGCACAGGATTCAAGGATATGCTGAAATCTATAAAAGTCGAGAAGCATCGTCAAATTATTGACTTTGATAAAATGGATTTTGCTGACTTCAAAGTTTTGAGTAAAGTTGCTGTACATAAAGACGATAAAGCTTCTTACATCATCCTGTCATTACCGATGACTGCAAAGCAGAACGACAGTTACGAATTAATTCAACTAAGACCGATCCCAAAACTCGAAGACAATATCTTGACATTTATAAATTTGGAAGCAAATTTCATAGTTCGAAATGAAAACAGCGATGGAAGTTATGTCCAGCTAGAAAATCTGAACGACTGCAAATATTATGATAATAAATACTATTGTGATAATTTGAATTTCATCCACAAACCATCGAACAGTTGCATCGCTCTAATCCTCAAGAATCATCGAAAAGATAATTTGATTGAATTTTCAAATTTATCTTCTTGCAAGCTATCAGCTATGGCAATATTTGCCAACATTGCTATCAAACTTCATGCTAAAAATTCATATTTGGCCATTTTATCAAAGAAAGCTGAATTATCATTCAATTCAGGATTACGAAAGATCACAAAAGGCATTTTTCTCATCCATGAAAATAAACCTGGAAGTATAGAAATTGATGGAATTGAACTTAATTTCCATAAAGATTTTCATGATGCAGGAGAATTTCAAGTCATGTCAGAAGTTCAAGCTTATTCTTATTCATCCCCTAAACATAGTCAATTATTCGATTTAAATAGAATGGATTTTCGCAGAATAACATCACCAAAATTGTCATCATTTGAAGAACTTAATGAGTTATCAACAGACGTTGAGTGTTTATCTGAAAAATTTTTAAACAACATGGCAAACTTGGCTTCAATGTTGATAATTGTATTTGGTTTGGGACTTGTTGCTTTTGTTTTGATCTATCATTCAAAAGTTCATGATAATTTTAGGAAAATTTTGAAAATGTTGTATGGAAAACGCAAGTATGTTGTTAAAAATTATGGAAGTCAACAGTGCCAATGAACTTAATAATGTCGTAATAATTGAAAGAAAATAAGAGTTGAATAAAGGAAATATATGATTAAGGCTTTTTAACACCTTCGATAAGCCACCAATATTATTGCTTTGTCAGAATTCTCATTTAATACTGTTATCTAGTCATTACGTAATCTGATAAGAATAGCTCTGAGGCTATTGAAAATTAAAATATTATTCTTAATTTTAGAAATTGATAAATGTTTATCTGAGGCTGATTTCTAGGGCTACTTAAGGCACCATCCTCCATACCAGTTATGTCCAACCTTTTTTGTGCCACAGCAAACTTTTCTGATGAGCCATGACCGAAGCAGCACACGACATACGGTTCATTGGATTTCCCAATTTTTTTAAGTTTTACACTAGTGTGCTCCGGCACATGGGTTGGTCATCACTGTTCTATACTCAGATAAATTTTGAATCTTAACCACAGAATGTAATTCGGCCATTTCATGCTAAGGTGACCCAGGAAGCTCAAAAAACTAGACAACTAAGGTAGACTATGGATCATAAATGCTATCCTGGTATTATTCAGGAGAAAAGAGGACTGGCTTAATTCTAGTCAGTTTTTTCATTAAAACAGTAGATGACAGTCTTCTGAAAACTCAACAAAATGATCACTTTAGCCTCTCAGCTTCATCAGTCGCCACAAATCACTCAAAGTTTCTCCAAGGGTTAGCTTTCAGTCTTTAAAACAACTAAATTGTTTTGACATTTATACAATCACTATCGTCTTTTAACGCGCCATAAGCTGATAAAGCTGTAATTGATTTAAAGTTGATAAGCCAATTTAGCGATCATAAAGAATAATAATCTTGTTATCTCGCATACACGTTTGCCATTCCTATTAACGCTGTACCTCAATTAAAATTATGTATATAACCCATCGCAATAATCCAAGAGACTTGTGCTGTTATCAACATAAATTTTTTTTCCATTGAATCGATGCGATGCTATGTAATATGAAAAATTAATATGATATTCAACCACGCAGCAAGGCGAAACGTAATTGTTGAGTAATAATTTCATGCATAATTCTCATACTATGATGCTTGTATACGCACCGATTACGATTCGGTTAGTGATACCATAAACAGCAGCAAGTTTTGTATTTACATTTTTTGTTTTGGGCGTTGGATTTGCGAACTGGCGCGTAGAATGAATGAAAATTTGAAGAAATATTTTTTGATGATTTTATGGGTTGTGGCGCATTTTTAAGGGTTTGTATAAACGTGATTGAGGCTATGATAGCCCTTAAAAATAATTCAGAGTTGTTCAAAATGTCTTAAGCCACCCTTTTGCTTAACTAGGAAATTTTATAATATTTTTCTTATCAAAAATCAAATCAAAATTTATTCATAAAAATTTTCAATTAAATTTTAGCTTCATTGACTTCACTTTATGGCATTTGTATTAATTGAAAACTACTTCATTATAATTAAAAATTCTAATTTTCTACGATACTAAAAATACATAATAAAATTCCAAAAAAGTGAATTAAACATTAACGGTTTATTGCGAAAATTGTGCAGTAAAAAGTTTACAACTTCTTATTGTTTCCCATTTCTCATCTTTTATTTCATTTTTTTCTGATTATTTAATCGAAAATAAAAAAAAATAATAATAATTTACATTTTTCTTTTCCCTTCATTGAACACTATACTTGTAGCTTCATTGAAAATTTGATGATGCGAGACATGCAAATGGGAGGAGAATTTAAATAGCGAAAAATCTTTTGTAGCTTATTGCGGTGGTTATGGATTGAAGTGTTGTAGTGCAGTTTGGGTTGGTGTCTATAGATTTCACATTTTTAGTGTCTTAGGATCGATTTTAAGGGTTGTTCTTGAAACTCTATAGACACTCTAATATCTTTAACCAAAATCAACTATTACCGTTCTCAACTTTGGGATATAATTGAAATATTACCGCAGATGCTCAAGGGAGCCCTAAATTCCAACTCTTGATGATAAAGAGATTGTGTAACTTTTTGTAATGTTCTGAATAAAGCTTCAGTAAATGTCACAAGAGTTTTATATGACTTCTCAGCATCATTGAGTAGTTTACTTGTTTCTATAACAGCTTTTGAGGCTATTTACCTTTCTTTACTTACATACTTACTCTAACCATGTTCCAATGTTGAGCTTAGGTTGCAACAAAAGGCTTTTCATCTGACTCTGTTGCTGGATCTGTCACCTAGTTTGTACAATTTCTCTGTCTGCTCATTAAGCTGAAATTCTTTCATCACTTTTCTGGACAAGGAGCTTTACGAACTTCTTAGCAGCATTGAGGAGCTAGCTTGATCCTACAACCTCTTTTGTGCCTATGCAAAAGTAAAAAATGGCGAAAATTTAAAATTTTATTCACATCCTACCTAACACTATACCTCCTGCCTACTAATTAATGTATCTTTTTTTTACTGGGACAATTTAATTAAAAGCTTTTTTTTGACTCCAAAACCTCTTGCGGCAATGCTAATTACAACAAATTTCGATGACTCTATTACTTGTTATGCATAACACAACTTAATGCACATTAGCTGAAATAGCTGTTATGAATCACTCTTCTTATCGGCTCTATTATTTCTTTTTCTGTAATAATACACAAATAATGATTTTTCACAAACAATTTTGAAAGTAAAATTACGAGCAGCATCAGATATTTATAATGCAATGTTGTTTACAGTTGGTTAGATGATGATGAAGAAGAAGAAGATTATTGAGGTTCGATAAATTTTGAAAATAATATTAGAGATTTTTTTCAGCTGAAGGATAGTTGGGGAAGCTACAATTATTTAGATTCATTTTTTTGGAAAAATGTCAACCTTTTAAGGAACATTTATGGACACCTCTCGTTACGATTAGCTTCTGAGAACAAGTTTGTAAGGTTTACTAAAATCACAAGATTAAAAACTGTCAAACTTGAAATAAGGCATTTATTAAAAAGTAAAATCACAAATTTAAAAAATAAATAAATCACCACAAACTTCAGCATTTAATTTTTCGAGCATTTAATTTTAATTTACGTAATTTTAAAGAATTTAAATTTTTTTTGAGAAAATTTTCATTAAAATATTTCAAAACCACCACAAAGCAAAAGCATAAAGCAAAATTCACTGTCAATTCATAATGATTTGTTAAAGCTTCCAAACCTTGAAGTACAACAACTTAATGATTGTAGCTAAGTTGCGTGCATTTTTACGCAACAATTGCTGACCTTAAGACTTCTTCAAGTCTACAAGTGTATTTTATTTTATTTTGACGGTATTGTTCATTGGCATTAAATCATAAGAACTGCTATGGTTCCCCCTCATGAGTCATCAATGAATAAATATTTTTCTTTTCGAAAAAAATGCTCAACTATTTTTAACCTCTACGTAAAATATATAAAAAAATTTATAATCAAAGTTCAACACGAATTACTAGCGGAATCGATTAACAATTCTAATTGTTGTTGAAAACTAGATATTATTTGATGTTAGCAATTAAAAGGCATTTTATCTTTGAAAAACCACGCATTCACAGCATGAATTTAATGAAAGTTTGTTCCATACATCGGATGTTGTGTGGTTATATAAGAATTGAATAAAGCAGTTCCATAAACCTTTTTTTCTCTCACTCTTTACCAATAAATTAATTTTGTATGTGTTTTGTTTTGTCCACAATAAAAATAAAAAAAAAATTGAATTAAGCCACTGTTGACCGACTTTCTTTTGTATTTTATTGATGTTCATATTAGCACACAATCTTACCATATAATTAATTTTTATTCAGAACACTTTTTTTACTATTTCATTCTTGGCAATAAATTAATATGATTTTAATGTGATAAATACTGTTAGATAATCATTTTTGCTGTCGAAACGTGATTCTATCATTTGTTGTATAATTTTTATTGCTAGATTTTTTATTTTTCTGTTGTTAGCTTTCGTTTTATGGAATGCTTGTGAAGTATTATCAATTTGTATGCTTTGGATATTAAACATTTGAATATTAGTTTGCACATTATTTGCTCAGAAGATATGAAAAAAACTGTTCTTTTTTAAGATGACGCGATTTAAGCTATTTTCTGAATTGATGATGCTATAAATTGCAAACGGGATAAAATGCAGTATAATTTATATTTTCTTTTGAAAGTTTTAACGGATTTGATTTATAGAGTCTATGCATAAGCATTGTAGACAACATTTCAGCTATAATATGTCAAATCTTACTTATAAATCTCACAATTATCTTTTAGAAACTCTTTTGCTTGGTTTGGAACTTCTGCTTGAAGTTTTAAAGGATAAAGCTATCGTTAGGCATTCTTTGAGTACTACATTCACGTTATCCCAAGCCAAGAATATAATTGAATAAGTATAAGAAGCCGTTCACTTATAACGACTAATAGGGTGGGTAATCATCAAGAAAATAACAAAAGAAATTCCTGGAAATCCATTGCTCTTTTTTGACGTCATAAGTGAACGACCCTTTATAGGACTAGGTCAATAGACATTAATTCGACAATGTCATGTAACCCTGGTTTTGACAAAATCACCGTATCCTAGTGTATCATAGCGATGGTTTAATAAACTTCAAAGTAAGGAAGATTTTACTGATTTTCGTCAGTACCTTTCCGCAATTTCGATACAATTAAGTACCTTTGTTTCTAAAATATCACAAAATTTTACACAAAAAATTCCGAATTTTTATTCATAAAAGGTGCCAAATATGTCACGAGATTGCGAACTCATCACGTTTGAACATATTTAAATTAATAATTATGAACAGGTAGTGAAAATCGAACAATGATTCTTATTCACTAAACATTTTTGCCTTGAACGACGCACAAACGCACTAGTTTTTACATAATAAATCTGTTGACTTGCTAAATTTCAAAGTTAATTCATTAAACGACACATTTTGCTATAGTCTAAAAACTTCAAAATTTAATTTATAAAAAAAACCTCATCAACCTTCCATCAACTGTGTTAATTACCCATTCAAATCGCTAATTTATGCGCATCTATGAGTGACACACACACAATTCGGTTGCTCATTTTCGCATATGTATGATTTGATCTGACCGGAATAATGATGACAAGAATAAAATAATAAAAAATTCAATTTTCAAAAATTAAATCAATTAATGAAATTTTCTACCAGCAACAAATGTTTAAGGATGGATGGATGAACTTGTTTATTATTGAAAGTTATGAATTAATTGCTTATGTAAATGAGAATATGCATGTCGATTTTTATTACGAAAGCTTTTGATCGAACATGTGAGATTTACTCTTCACGAGGCGCCTTGAAATGTCGAGTTTGTCAAACACTTTTGTCGCTTTGAGTGAAAGAGTATTTAAAGAAGGATTAGAGGATGATGTTGTCGGTATGTTTTGAAGCTGATGGAGTCTGTTTGTTAATGTTTAGCTTAGGCACAAGTTATTGTCAGCACTCTTAAGGTTCTTTTTAATATTCATAAGACTGTTGTTTTAAATATCATCTGTTGGGAATTGAACCTACGAGTTGAAGACTTCCAGTCTGTTGATTGACCAATTAGATAGAGAATGCTTTAGCAGATTTGCCTATAAATGGTTTGATAACCTTGATTAGAATTTGAAAATCAAATGCCTTCAATTCTGACTAGGCTTGTCAAATTTAATTAAGAAAATTCTACCTTAGAACCAACAATTGATTCTTATACTTTCAATCCAAAACTCATTCCAATAAGTGGCACTATTTCATATCAACAAAAAGGTGCAAATATTGAAAGAACCACAGCTGTAACTGGTGGGAAGAAAAAGAAGAAAAAAAACCGTTTCCTGCATTTTTGGAGCCATATGTGTAGCAGATGTGAATGAATTTAAAATGGAAATCATATCATGCTGCAGTTTTTTCTTGGTTCCAATGCAGTTTCGCTATAAATTGTGTTGTGGTTGGCTGAATCATTTGGAAATTAAGCAGTTCTTGAAATTTATATTAGTACTCTTTAAAAGTCTAGTTTAATAATCCTTTAAAATTGCGCTTTACACCATACATCATCCCAAAAAAAATTCCTCACTCACATTTTATGTTCTGCAGCAGACTGCAGTCTTACAAACATTAAATTGAATCGACTCATTGGAAGAAACTTGCATGTGTCAGCTGTCGCTTTCTTATAAAATTGCATTATTGCTTGCAATTTACTTTTCACATGCCTCACAAACGTTAGGCTTTAAAATAAAACTACAGCAGTAAGACTTAGTTCCAATTACTATTTTTTTCTTCTCTTTTACTCAACTTATTCAACTTTCATTTCAAAAAACGACTTTTACATTTGTTGCATTTCAACTTCGCCTTTTACCAATCGATTAAGAATGACATTAAACTCTTTTCAAGCTGTTGGATTAAATTGCAGTATATTGAAAGGGAAATTGCCGGGTTGGATAATCATTGTAGGAGAAATTTTCATCAGATTTATAGGATCATTGGTCTGAATTGATTGCACTATAAATTATAATTAAATCAAAGTGCAAGCGTTTTGGCTTATTGAATATATACTGAATTGGTAGCTTATTACTTACTTTATTCAATCGTTAATGTGTGAACTTGTTTGTTAAACTTTTGAATCATCAAAATGTTGCTCAGTCAATTAATCACACATTATGCATTTCTACCAAGCAATATCACAGAATAAGGGGCTACCTAGGCCTAGGTAGGAAGGGTGTGGACTCCATATCCATAAAACTTTCGAGTCATCATTCGAAACACTAACCACAGACTTTTGTCTCTCCAAAAAAAAAACTCAACATTTGCCAAAATAAAGTTCTTCTTATCGTCCTCATTACATTTTTTGAAATCAGGATAAACTTGCGATTTTTATCGTCAGAGAAAGTCATGACACGAGCGAATTGATGAAAGTTAATTTGAAACGGATTAATGCCCGATGATGAGATCACGATGCATGCATGATGTGTATAGCTTTGCACCTACATGAAAAATGAGAACAAAAGGTGGTTCAGAAACTCGAGTTCATTAGAATAAATAAAATGATCTATTTTCGGAACGAGAGAAGCTATATAAATGTGAAGAGTCACGTTGGGTCAGCATGAGGAAATGAAAATGGAATTAATCTTTACAATCAAATAAGAATCACATTGACAGATTTTCATCTGCATATGATTCCAAAAATATCTCTTTGAATCAGAAATCCATTAACAAAACGGAAGTTTGTTGCTAATTTTTAACGTGCGAAAGAAATTCGCCATCAACAGCAATTCAGAAATTCAAAAAAAGGAACTTTCTATTGAATAAAATTTTCATCTTTCACATCTAAATGTCACATGGGAAAGAAATCAACGTTATGTGATAAATCACTCAGATTAGAGTCCATAACTCTCTCGCTTCATAATCTCTCTTTAAAAAAACTAATTGATTTAATTAAAGCCGATGACTTTCTTCAATAATCTCATGTTTTAAAAATTATCGTGGAGATTTTTTTGTTGTTTTGATTTTTTTAAAGTTTGCAGAGTTGGGGAATGATATAAACCAGTGATGATCAACCCATGTGTCACGGCACACAAGTGTGAAATTCAGGTAATCCCACGAACCGTATGTCGTGTGTGGTTTTGATCATGGCTAACCATCAAGGGATGTTGTGGCTGAAAAATGGTTCGGGACCACTGACATAAGGATTAAAATTTCATTTCATTTTTGTACATTTTGATCCAAATTAATATTGTGGGTAGTTTTGATCAAACTTAGAGTTTTTTTTTATCAAGGAGAATCTAGCTACGTGTTAAAGCTTCTATTACTAAGCTCCAAACTATCTCAGCAATTTATATCCACAACTAATTGGATTACACCTCTGCATCACAAAGTCAAAAACCTTTTAAACAGCCAATATTTACTCCCATTGCGAAAACCAAGCTTATAATTTTCTGCTGCATCGCATCATAATTCAATGGTCGTTTCCAGCATTTTTTTTTTCTTTTCTTTCCTTTGATTAGCTAATCATGATGCAAAATAACACAACATTGTGTTTAAAAATAACTTTATAATCCGAAGAAGTAAGATTTTTCAAAAATTATATATAAAAGTTCGCGTTGAAGAAAAGAGAAAGCCTCCTGAAGCGTTAATTTACAAAGACGACATTAAAAATAGAAACGATCCAGCTGAATGCAGATATTTTGTCGTCAGTTTGTTTTTGCATGAGGTGAATGAAACAAAAAATTTGCAATGCAGGAGATAGCATGAGACAAAATATTTAAAAAAAAAATAAGCAACACTTGGGGGTCGTTTATTAATGATGTCTTGCATTCTGGGAATAGGAAATTTAATTTTTTGAGAATATTTCAAGCTACAGGAAGTGAAAGTAATCAAAACTTTGATCGACATCATTTTTTAACGACCCTCCGAAGCCTCCAACTGACATTGTTCATCTTTTAATTATGAATTATGTGCCTGAATCTCGAACTTGAAGGTTACTTGATGCTACTCATCCTTCAATGTGCAATAATTTTCTTATCATCCAGACTTATTTATGGATGTTAAGTTATCGATCGAATTCCATTCTCATTTCGTGTTATGCACATCTGCTTGTACTGAAAAAAGATTCATTCCTTCATACTTTATAATTTCATTTCATTACCTTGAAGTCTGATCAGATTCAAAGAGCATAAAAAAGCATAAATTTCATTGTCTTGTTCCACATTATTGTAATGGAGCATCATTGAGGAATCCATTTCCATGAAAATATACATGATCGGTCACCTTACAATTTATAGTTGTGGCAACAAATTATCGCGTCATTGTGATAATTGTTTATGCTTTTAAAAAAAGACTCGAATTCCTGCAGACAAATTGAATGAAATGAGATATTTTCACATTTTAATTAGGTTTGAGGATTATTTAGAGCAGATTTGAAATTTTGTAGTGTCACACTATTCATTAAATACACCCACTTAACCTCAAAAAAAAAGATTTTAAGTTTTTAGTTCATCAAATGTGGGTGACAAAGTCATTTCATTTTGAGCTTTTGACAAGAGAAAATAAAAGAAAGTATTCGAGATTGTAGAAAAGGTCAAAGTTTTGTAGATCTTTTGTAAACTTTTACAACCCCCCTCCCCCAACTCCCGATCGACCCTCTCCTGAACGTAATAAGTAAATAATTCCTTAGATACTTGTTAAGTGAGTCTTATGAACACTGAAGAACGTTGAGGAGCAACACTAATTAGCAGAGCTCGAAGTCGACTCGAGATTTTCATTGATTTTGTATGGCGAAGTCGACTCAGAGTCGCTAATAGGTGTAAAATTAAAATTTGAATAGTTTTGCAATGAACTCTAGCTTATTGCACTTTCAAGTTCATTAGAATGTCGAGTTCCCCCAAAACCGAGTCCACAGAACATCAAATCCTCAGCTTGATACAAAAACAGAATCCATAATATTTAATCCGAGCCTATTTATCTAGCTTTGTCGGAAACTGTGATTCAGAAACTTAAATAGCAACAAAACTGAAATTGAATGTAATTATCATTCAACCAGACATCCAGTCAAAACAACTAAAATGCCAAATCCGTTACTTATACAAAAAGAATTAAATAATTGAATTTACAAAAAAAAGAGTCCATCATGAAGTAAATAAATTTGAAAAAAAAAATGGTAATGAAGACAAAAATCAGGTCAAAAAAATCGTGAGCAGGCCATTGTCGCTAAACAGAGAGAATTAAATTCTGTCAATGTACAATTGACTTTGAATAAATGAAATTTAATTATTATAATATGAATTGTAAAAATCTCTTTAGGCAGACATCACCATAATGTTAATTTTTTGACTATTTTTTTTGTGGACACGATCATTATTTAAACTTTCTTTTTTATCAACTTGGAGCTTAAAAACATCTTTCTTCACAAGTTGTGTTAAAATTCACTCTATTATTGATGATCCTTCACATTTTTTTTCATGTGTCATTAAGATGAATAGTTTCTATTCGTGTGTTTTGACTTCTTGTTATTGATTTGTTAATGATACACACTTTTTAAAAATGAGACAAATTTTATTTTCGTGCGGTTGAGTGATGAAAGCTAATGCATCGTTAAATTTGTTGTTATGAACAATTTACAGATATTTGTGACTTTATTTGGTTGTGCTATTTTAAAATGATTTTAATGATTTTTTGGGTAGTCAAGGTCATTGGCTTGCTAAAGGTTAAAATTTATGAATTTTCGGAAATTGACAAATTGATAAATATTTGTAGGGGTCATTCACTTATTAGATTTACATCAAACAGGAGCTGTCTAGAGCTTTTTTATTCTTAAGTTGCCTGGGGCAATGTTGCATCATTCTCAAAAGGCGGATGCCTCGTTCATGCAGTCCTGGATGTCAGAATTGCCTTTCTGGATAACTCAAATCTTATACTCTATTAAGTGATGTAAATGTAACTTTGACCAGAATATTTACTTCGTGTAGCTAAAAAACAAGCCGTGTGAAGCTGCATTTTTTATCCACCTTAAATACCTTTTTAAATGCAAGAATTTCAAGTTAAAGATAAAACATAACCAAGTCACAGACTTAATTTAAATATGTGAATTTCTATTTTATTTGAAATAGACATTCTAGTAATAATTAAAAAACTAAAGCTAATTTTTAAGATACTATGGGTCCTCGATTTGAATAGATTCAATTTGAGGAACAAGAATTGATGAATAGAAAATTTAAAATATTTTTTTTGTAACGACAATTTTAATACAAAAAGTAAATAATTCGATTTGAAAAGGATTTTTTTGGAACAAAACACCTACTCAAAACGAGGACCCCCCAGTGCATGCAAAAAGCATAAGATCGAACACATGTTTGAAATGCTACAAAATAAATCTAAATTTGCCTACAATTCATGACTCAGACTTCCCAAAATTCAATAAAATATTTCAATTCTTTCACAACTTTTACGAAATTCTTCATACGTCGTGCATGAGTCAAACATATTCTTACTTATTCGTTCATTTTGATTCCGTGGAGATACAAATTTCATCATGACGACGACACTAAGAATATTTCATCATTCATATGCTCGACTGGTGTCAATAGTAAACAAATCAAATTTAATTTAATTCATATTTTCTTCTTTTATGTTCACAAACAAAAGAACCGATAATGTCTCTCTTTCTTGGTCTAATTAGCGTGTTTTTTGATGAAATGGATGAAATGAGAGTTTTTTGTGTGGAAATAATTATTTTGAAATTTATTTATTTTTGATGAAATTCAAAGGGTGAAGGTTGGGCTAAGGAAGACTTTGCTCTGGGCTTTTTTTTAAAAAAAAATAAAAATTCTGTATTAAATAGTGTCGATTTCTTAGCTTCTATGCCCCTGTATTAGGCTTCAAGTGGAATGTTTCTCAAACTATGCTCTGCGGAGCAAGAGAGACTAGGGTATCAGACAAGAGGAAGACCTAGTATCCAGCAGTGCTGATACCTAGCATTTGACTTTAAAAAGGACGTAGGCGTAGGCAATTTGACAGGCAATTTTTTGTCAAAGGCAATTTTTTTTCTCCTTTGCCTTTATTGTGCTTTTGCAAAGGCATGACTTTGGTAGCTCAAAGGCAAAATCTGGGATAAGGCAACTTTATATCAACACTGGTAACCTAGTTCCTAATACAACTCCAGAGTAGACAATTTTTAAAAGTATTTTCCAGATAATCCACGCTAGATGCAATTACTTCACAGAAAAAACAGCACACAAATCATTTGAATTTAAGTATTCAATAAGATGCGACCGTAAAAAAATTAACGAGAAAATGCGTTTAATTTACATCACCTCCAACATTTTGAGTACTCAATTTTTTTCATTATCAAATCTCACGAGAGACTTTCGAATGCTATGTAGCATCAGGTCAAGGAGATCGCTTTTTGTGACTGCGATTTATTTTTTATTTTGTCTCGTCTCTATTTTTCTGTTATTGAAATGAATCACTTAATTTTTTTAAGAGACTTAATGATTAATTTTTTGGCACCCGTCAAGTTGAATGCTCACACTTATCATCAGGTTATGTTTATGAAAAAAAAAATGATAAGAACATTTTTCGATTAAATCCTGTCACGCTAATCATGATATCAGATTCTTTAAATAAGATATCTACTATAAAATGAGTAAAGTCAACTAAAACGTAAATCTTCAATGATAAGATAAGAATTATTCATCATGTTAAGCAGAAATAATCTTCATTTGAGATAGGAATAAAATAATAATTGCACTTGTGAATACTTCTACGATTTTGCCTGAAGTTCTCTGCTATTGTAAAAATAAGCGATGAGATGGAAAATAAATATCATAAAATGCGAAGGTAATTAAAAAAATTTTGAAGCACGGAATAAGTTATTTTTGGAAGTAATGCGGTTTTTCATTGAGAAAATTTATTTAACCTAAAATGTAAAGGCGCAAATAAAATCTAGAGTACTGTAAACAGACTATTTGTAGTGTACTTAAATGAATTGTAATAAATGGAGTTAAATTGCGTTTTACTTCTGTCAACTGCGCATCTTTTGAGAGGGTTTTGTGTCATTGCGTAGGTTTTAGGTGTTTAGAGGAGCTTGCTGTTGTAAATTTGACATGGATCTGTTATAAATTTTGTCGAAACTGCTTCAAAGGAGCAGTTTGAAAACATATGAAACTTCAGAAACATTATTAGGCAATGAGTTCCTTAATTTAATACTAACAAGGGACCTGTTTGTAGAGCTATCCGAAACATCTTCCATTTTAAGTCACGTATCCTTCATAGCTATAGAAACCGGCTCCAGGTTCATTGCCAGCTATTAGATGACTGATTATATGACAATTTTCCAAGCTTTACCCTTAATAATAATGTTCCAGTCAAGCTATGCGTTGCCACACGACTTAAAGAGCTGGAAGCACTGGGATCCCAATCTTTAATAGTAACTAAGCTTTAACCTTGGTACTAGTCACAAAAATCTAGATTAATAGAACATGCCTACAAACACTAGTGCTCTAAAAAACTTACAAAACTAGCAAAATCACCTTATCACTGCTCTAATTGCTAGTTTTGTTTTCTCAAAAACACATTGATAACCTAGTTTCATCAAAAACTTCTCAAATTGCTAACAGATGTGTACCTGGCGGACAGATAAAGAATTTTTATAAAATAAGCATTTTTTCATCTCCAAAACTGAAAACTGAGAAATTTATTTGACAAGCTGTTTTTTTCCTGGGTTCTGGCATTTGGAGGTTAACATTCCTTACTATAAATTTTATAGCTACAAAAAAATGATGTTTATTCGACTACAAAGTTGATCTTGTTTTGAAAATTGAACTGAGCATTTAGGACTGACATGACAAAACTTGAAACTTTTATAGCTCTAATTTTTTCAATCTAATTCACAGCTAGCCCTAAATTTCTTCTGTCCACAAAAAACAATGTTTTCACTTTTAAAAATAAAGAAGTCACGGATATGAAGTCACACCTTTAATAATCAGTCAAACACATGTGCTTACAAATTGTTATTTAAAAATTACCTAACAAGACGAACATCAATCAATTTTGCAGAATTTTTGTGTTAAACTCACTTGACACATTTTAGAATTGTAAACACAAAAAGCAGCTTTTCCGTGTTATTAATGAAAAGTCCAGAATTGTTCAAAGGATGAGTCATTGGTAATGCAGTAAAAATAGTTCATGACGAGAAATGATTCCAATTGTTTTTAGATCGATCATATGTTTATCATATTTTGTTGTTAATTCTTACTTGAAGAACCCAAAAAGGAAGTAGAAAAATACCAGCGATGTCGTGACCGAAGCTTTCTTTTCTGTTAGAATTTATCAGGTTACTAAACATGTCATTGACTTGCTCATTAAGTTTTATTATTGTCGTGATTAAGTAGCTCCCGTGTTTGAATCATAATCAGTATTTTTTTGGGAATCATTGTAAAGCAATGATTAAGGATAGAAAAGAATGTTGAAGTAATCGAGGAGGTTGATCTCGTTTTAGCACTCAAATAAATTTTCAATGCATGGGAATCACACACTACGTCACAATTTATTAATTCATAGATTTGATTTAATTATCAATAAACTCAGAAGTTGTTGAAATGAAAAAAAGATTGCATCAGCATTTTCATTTTTGAATTTCAGCTTTGATCCGGATTTTCCTGGCGCAAATTTTGATTAATTAATTCACAAATTGGGAAATTCCTTTGTGAACTTTTATGACTTTTATTCAATTCAAATATCTTTCGTGTTCTATTTTCAATCGATTTGATCAGAATTGAATTTAGAATTGTTTATTGAGCAATATAATGCATATAAAGTATTCAGGCAAAATATTTTTGGGTTTTTATCTTGTTTTTTTTTTGTTTCGAGTTCTACCTAATCGCTAGGCCTCATCATTTGCATGGCTGGAATTTTTCAGATAGTAAGAGAGAAAAGGTTTTAATTTTTTTGAATAAATGAAAAATTTGATAAGGCTGGGAAGAAGGGGTTAATGTTGAGAATTCCTAACAGATTAGAAAGAATTTATTCATAAATAGGGGTTTAAGGCCTTTAGGTCTTACCTACGACAATCTAATAAATTATTAATAAAATCTCATTAAAGATTTTAAAACATTTCAATCTACCCAAAATGTAACACAATAGAACGAAAATTTCCTAACAAGATTAAGCCAGTTAATAAACAATAAACATTCTTATCAACAACTCTGCACATATGGGTATTAAACCATAAATCTCTTATCAAGCGTCCATAAATGCTCAAAACAAAACCACAATAATTGTATTAAATGCAATCATTATATTGAAATCACATAATAATGTACCACACAAACCACAAAATTTTAATTAATTCAATATGCTGAAATGTCCCACACACAGATGTCAGCTAGCTGACAAGTTTCATATCAATAATTCAATTTACATACTTTTTTACTCAACCAAGAAAATAAAAAAAATTAATATTTCATTCACATTTTCTTTCAGATCGTACAATTTTAATATGGTATATGCGTGATTTATATAATGCAAAAGACAGGAAGACATTTAGAATTAATGTCGAATACGATCATGTCTACAAGCTTGTATGGAGTCCCGACTCAAAGGCCATTTTAGGATTTAAAGCAACGGATAACAGCATTGAAGTTTATCGACTTGAGCGTAAGGACGGCAGTTTTACAAGTTATGGTAGGAGTATCACATTTCCTCGAGCACATGAGAACGACGACGTAATTAGCTTAGATATCGCCTGTAATGGAAGATTTATAATGTCAGCAAGCAATAAAACTGAACTAATTATATGGGATATACGAGGAAATGTTTTGGAACAGTTGAATACTTTCACAATGTCTAATTATTGTGCCAAAATATCGCCATGTGGAAGATTCGTTGAAGTGTCAGGTAAATGGATGCTACCATTAAAGCAATGATTTATTAATGCCTTTTCTTTTAATTTAGGCTACGCACCTGATGTCAAGTTTTGGGAGGTGAAATTCGGAAAGACTGGAAACTACGAAAAGACTGTCAAAGCATTTGATTTAATTGGACATAATGCTGGCGTTTGGGATTTTGCATTTGATCAGGATGCTTCTCATTGTGTTACGGTGTGTAAGGATGGATATTGGAGATTGTTTGATATTAATAGTAAGTATTAAAGTTGGAAGAGTTTGTTTTATTTGAGCTTAAGCCAAAGCTGCATTAAGAACAATGACACATGTTTATAAATACAATATAAGCAAATATATCCTTCTGTGTGCTTCAAAATCTTATATTCAGCATCATAAAAACTATAAGATTAGAAACAACTTTATGACTTTTTTTTAACATCCATCCAAATTAATTCAGTTCAATGCACTTTAGCTTTTCACTTTTTATAGCAATTCAAATCACCTTTTTTTCTACTAATCGTCTTTAAAAGCATTTAATGACTTTCAGCAACAAGCAAGCAAGCAAAAAAAATTCTAACTGTTCAAAAACCAAATCTTCTTTTCTTTTCACAGTCGATTATGCCCGAGGAGAATCCCCACGATGTCTTTTAACGGGAGAATATGAAAGTAAAGCTGTTTCACCTCTCATTGCCTTATCAAATTCAGCACATGTCATCGTCATCGGCTGTGGAAATAACATTCAATTCTTCTCTGGATTGAATGGAAATCTTGATAATACAATTGAGAATGTTTTTTATGATCATATAATGTCGATTGCATTTGACTCATTAGGCCTTCAATTGTATGTTGCTGGAGATCGTCAAGTTAGAGTCTTTCACAATATTACGGGCTATAAAGTTGGAATTGAGGTTGCAAAGGAAAAATTGAAGGACAAGAAAACTACTGCAGCGACTAGGGAACGATTGGAGAGTCAAGTTGTGGAGTATGAGAACTTTATTGCTGAGAATGCTGAATAATTTCCACTAAATTTTATTTTACTTAATCATTTTTTTTCGAGCTAGAGTCAGAGTTGTGAATTTAATCGTGTATTTAATCGATGCATTTTTTAAGTGACTTTAAGTTTAAGTTTTTTTTTGCTTAATTGAGCTTCCGATGTTAATTTCGTTTCAATAATCTTGAGTTTAAATTTATGGAACTGGATAGGGATCCTTTATATGCAATATAATAGTCGTAATGTCGTGATGTTACGACGAATGTTATATTAGTGTTGTCTAATCTTTCTACGCAAACTCGCACCTTGTTGTAAGGCTTTCATAAGGTCATAAGGTGATCGGTTCGTGGTATTTTCAAAAAGATTCTATGGCACACAAGTGTGGGAATCGTACACACGTCCTCCAAAAGAGGATTTCAATTCAATCTGTTGGCTAGCCAGTCGCGCCACAGAGGTCTTACTTTTACACTGGCAGATTCTTCTATATATGGATCGATACCCCAGATTCCACTTTGCTAAGACACGACAAATAGTGCAATTAAAAACACGTAATAAAAATTTTATTTTACCAAAACAAACTTTAAGGAATTAATTTTTTTTGAGGCAGGATTTTGGACCTTTAGCTACGTTCCTGATTAAAGTGTCAACAATAGAGTGTCAAAAATTAAATAAACTGTATTAAGATCAGGATCATTATTTTGGAATTTTTAATAATAATTCAAATTAAACGAATGCTTTTAATTTGACTCAGCACAATCGCTCCACTGCTTCCCTAAATTCACAACCCTGACCATTAATTCATAGCTCATTATTTTCTTACTTTGATGAATTTTTTTTTATATTTTTTCTAAACTGAATACAATAAAGACTTGAATGAATAATTAAAATTGTATTTTTGTTTTAATCAAATATTCTAAATCTGTTACTTTTGTGGTTTGACTTGAAAGATGTTGAGGTTAGAATGATTCAATCTGATTTTATTTTTATTAAATTGAAAAAAGTAATATTAATATGAATTGTGATTAATGTTTTCAAAATTTAAAAATGATTCACAAGTTTTTCAATTTAAAATAATTTTTGTAGGGTCTATTCACTTGTGATGTCTAGCATTTGAGACAAAAGTTTCAATAATTATTAAGACACAAAAAATCTTCAGGTCTGAAAATTAAATATAATAATCTTCGTCATTTTAGAACGACATCAAACCTACATTCTGACTCAAAAATAAAGATTTTCAAGGAGAAATGCAAGGTAACTTCTTGCAAATAAATTTCAGATGTCAGATAGTTAATTATCTACAACTTAAATATTTAAACATATTTTTTAATCATTTCTTTATTAAAACACGTGCCTTGAAATGAAAACCTAGCTTATTCCCAAAAAGCTCTCAATCAAAATTCTGTAACGGTTTTTAAAAATTTGAATCTCTTAAAGCGACATCTATTTGGCAATAGACTAGATTTAAATATTGAAAGCTTTTGAAATTAAAACCAATAATCATGTGCATTCAACATGAGACACATTATAATTTGCTTAAGGCACAAGCGATAAATTAACTTTAATAACTTTGCCTTATTTATAATTATAATAGCTTATTCAATTTCATTTTATGTTGTTTTTATGAAAATGTCTTTCAAATGTTTCAAGGTCCAAATATATTTTTTTTGGGTATCATATCAAAAAGTAGCTTAGTGTCTTTACGTGAAATGAATTTTGATGAAATTGGTTTAAATCTGGAATTATTAAATAAATGACATTTAAGGGAATTATTGTATTTTTAATGTCTTTTTTGTTAAATGGAATGTGAATGTGTAATAAATTAATATTGGAAAATGTATTGAAATAGAGTAAAATACTTAATGCGAGAAATAAATAAATGACATTCGTGAGCATTTCAAGTGAAGCAGTGAGTATGCATCATTAATTTATTAGGCTTGCTTGTATATTTAAACAGTGAGGTTCATTTTAAAATTTGAATTGATGGCATTTGCCCGTCATTATCGAAAAATATACGAGGGGTGCTAATTTCTGGAGTGACAAAAATCGTATTTCAGTAGCTTATTTCTATCATATTAGCATTAAGTTCCAAGCAGCATGTTCATGAATTTCTTAGCCTACCTTAAAAATTGCTCTTTGCTGCCCTTTTATAACACAAAGCTAGCCCATCAAAATGCTCATAATTCAATTTACCCTGCAACGAAACATTTGATTGTATTTTCACTATATTATCAAAAGTTCAAAGTGCATTCGAATGTATGAAAAATGAATTAAATGCATGTCCATGTCCACTTGCGTCAATAGATTCAGTAATTCCCCATAACTCAACAGATGATGCAAAAACAAAATTAGCATAAAAACAATTATTAATTAAATTTATTTACGAATTGAAGATAAAAGTGCAGAAAATTGATTTTTTTACATAATTAAGTTAAGGCAGTTTGCACATTTGCATGAAATTGATATCAGCTGAGAGTTATCTAATTCCTTCCCCATACGACATGCAAATTGCAGTTCATTAAAACAATTAGTGGAAGGAGAGTGAGATTGTCTATGCAAAAATGTGAAGCAAAAGCGTTTAATTGGATTTTGCAATTGCTCCATTGGACATTGTCAATCTGTACTATCTATGGGTATTTAAAATCATTTTTTTTTGTATGCATTGCTTCCGCATTTTGACGAATAAGTCAACAGTCGCTTATGACGCTTGACCAGCTCGCATATATTGGCGCGAATCAAATTGGATCAAATTATAGGCCTTTTGTGCCATTTATCTTACTTATTGTATAAGTCGTCGTCAATACAGGCAGCAGTTTACAACAATGAGCAATCTATAACTCTCACTCTCGATTCCTGTTCAGGTTCTGCTCAAGAAATTAATTTTCTTTATTTCTTTCTTTCGCAACAACAACTTTTTTTATCGCACCAACATGGAAAATGCACGCCTGTAGGTTTTATTTTTAAAACAGCCGTGTTGCTAAAAATAAACTCTTTACCTTCCAATTTCAGGTTCTTCGTCCAATTTCTCTTTCTATCTCACCTGTGAAGCGGAATTTTGTGGAAGTGTTGAGGTTCATTTTGTCTGGAATAATTTTTATAAGGTAAGACAGTTGAGGTAGGACTGATATTGGCACTAAAGTCAAAGGTCTTTTTGGTAGTTTTGTGTAAACCTGACTGTAATTCATTGGTTTGCTGCTTCGGTAATCTCGGAACATTTCAGTAAAGCTAATTTCATAGAATATTACTCGATTTTAGACTCTAGAACCTTGAGGGTCTTAGCAAGAGAGCTTGTCGTCTGACGCCCTTTTGTAAAAAATCTTAAGTCCCCTTAAATTATTTATGGTGTCACTTGCATGCGATTTTGGGTCTTTAATTGTAACGTCAAACCAAGCATCCCATGTCATCCTCCTGCTACGCTCATTGAACCTTAACCTTTGATAATGACTTCAAAATGTCTAAAGTTTCAACAATTTTCCAATTAAATTCAGTAATTAAAGCTCAACAATCACCACTCAAGTGAAATTTCCATTCACAACACCAAAAATTTTTTGTTTCCTTTTGTCAGCATGCAAAATCCAAACTGCGCCACAATTCACCTTAATTAATTTCTTTCATAGCATTTTTTTTTTTCGTTTTTTTAATTCGATTGCATTGGCAACTTCCTTAACTTTCTTCTGTACACTCTCGATTATACTCGAGCATGCATTTCGTTTCAGTTTTATATATTTTTTTTACAGATGTTTTGATCGCAGGCATGCCTACTTATAAAATACGCATTCACTATCATTTCGAGTTGGCGCCATAATTTGTCGATGCTTTATGATCTTTTATTTTCATTTTCATTTACTCTTGCTTGCTCGCTTAAGTATCTTATTGTAAGAAAAAGTGTGCCATTGCGCATAAAATACTATTAAATGCAAGCTTTATGATCGATTATTGTAAAAACAATAATTTTTGAGTTTATAAGAGCTGCTTAGTGGCTTATGGGCAATGAAAAATTGGCAGGTTTATTTTCGGGTACTTTTGTGAGGTAAGAATGATGTCATTATGATTGTCTGTTGGCTTATTTACGAAATATTATTGTGGAATTCCCAAAACTTATTTGTTGAGGAGTTTAATTGATTGTTTTGCTAATTTTGGTGACCCAGTTGCGTAAATTTGGTGATTTTATTGTGTAGAGTCTAGGAGTTTTGGATTCTGGCGAGGAGGTTGACTGAGGTTGTTGCCGTTATTGACGCTATGGAATCACAAGATCCATTTTGCAAGGCTTTTGGTGCCAAAAATCCTTGAAACTCCACCAACTGTCAATCTTGCTCCAAATTCACTTCCAAAAACAATTAAAATTCCATTATAACAACATCACCTGACTAAGGTCTTTAAGCCTGTAACTTGCATTCAAACAAAACTCTATTATCATTATTGCAACTCTATTCTCAATTTTCAAACACACAAAAAAAATTTAAGAAAAACGATTAAAGCACAATGTTTGATGCATAAAAAATACCACAAAAGCATTTTACGATGCCTTAAGCATTAAGTTGTTATGGCATTTTTTTCTACATTGTTCACATTACGTAATTATTATAAAGTCTTTGTTTAAAGATCACTGCAGAATTTCAAAAAAGAGACATAGAAAAAAATTGAGAGATATTGTAGAAAGAAGCATCGGATTAATGTCACAGATTTTTTTTTTAACGATCGATTGATTTCATTAGTTTTTTCTATCGCGCCATGTCTGCTTATGCATTTATACACAATCTTTATGTTCGTTTTCACAATGCTTCATATTTTTTTTTTTTGCTTTCTTGAACATTAAAAAAGTTGTTGATGCAATGTGTTTGATTTATAGGGTTTTGGATGTTGAGTTTGTGCGGCGTTCGACTTGATGCTTGAGAATTTTATTTGCGATGCAAGTTGAATTTTGGAAATTGATCTAAGCTTCTCTTACGAGATCAGAGCTGGTTCTTCTTGACAGTTTCTGACTATTCTAGACTCTGGTCAGAAATTTCTTAAGGAGTGGACGGGGGTTGAGATATAAGATTTTTGCAGGAGGTAGAAAGAAGGAGCTTTACATATTTATGCTCCTGATTTTATAAGATTTACTTACATATATGGCCGTACAGATCAATTGTGATCCATGACCACCCTTAGCCTATAACTAGTTCTATCGCTGACTACCGTCTGCCAATTTCCAACACCAGGGTTGCGATACAGGCACTTTTGCACATGTGAGAACCGTACAATTGGAGAGGTTTTATTAGAATTTGTATGGACTTATTAAAAAAAAACCTTATAAATTATCAAGGAATTGTATGGTTCTCACCTGTGCACAGGTGCCTGTATCGCAAACCTGAACAATACTAAATGCATTCCTGTGATTTTATAAGAACTTCAAAATATGCATCTTATCCCCAACATAATCTTCCAATAATCAAAATTATCCACAACTTTTTTGCATTTCTTCTGTAAAAAATCAGATTTATTATGAGAAAAATCGTCACTTTAACGTCTTAACTATATTTATGTATTATAAACTTGTTTTCCTTCCATAAAAGAGACATACTAGCTTATTTATTATTTTATCATGTCGTATTTTTTTGATAAATGTCAACATTAAATTGTCAGCAACTGGAATAATAAAAACAAATTTATGCTATTGATTCCATATGACTTTTCCAGCACGATTGAATGTGGGTCAATCTGCTGATTTGAATGTGGTTGAAAGACGAAGAAAAATGATGACAAAAAAAATATTAAATCTTGTAAATCTGTTGACATTTTTATGGAGTATGCTTGATTGGCTGTAGACCTTTATGGACGA